TATTCTCTATCTATATTCGTACATACGATATTCTCGTAGTACCGTATATTTATTTAATTATTTAATTATAATATAATCTTTCATAAATATATAAAATACAATCCTACATACATATAACATATATGCATATAATACATGCATGTCATATATATATATAGTTACAGATATAATATATAAATTTTAGAATCTTCTAAAATGAGTTTTCTTTAATGAAAAATGTATGTTGAATATAATCGCTAAATCTGAGATCTGTGGCTTAGTATTATTTCTTCAGTAATATTACATTTTCATGAGTGTATAGTTTGATATCAATATATAATAACTTCGTCAAGAACTTTATCAAGAAACTTTGTGTCTAGATCTCATTTGACCGAAATCTCAACCACCGTATAATTCAAGAAATTTCGTATCCTGGAAATATCGCAACACGATTATGGGTTACATTAAATGTCCAAAAATTTTTCATTGTTCTTAAATTATTAACAAAATTTTTAAAACACACACACACACACACACACACACACATATATATATATGAAAATTTTACACGCATATTTGCATTATAAATACGAAACATCCCGTAAAATTATTTTCAAAAAAATAATGAATAATAACATAATCGCTTTTGATAAATAAAAAGAAACAAAAAAAAAAGATTATAAAGTAGTTGCATATATTGAGAGTGCATTATGAATTTAAAACTCTATATTTTTTAATCGCGAGATTTGTCTCATTGCGTGCGCGCCACTTGGAAAATGTCGAATTCACATATGATATATAAATATACGAGACCGGACTCGCGAGAACTTCTCCGAAATAGAATTTTCTAGCATGACGGGTTGGAGAGACGCGAATATTTCTGCACGTACACAGAGTTCAAATTATCCTAAAATTGCACCAGTACCATCGTCCTCGTCCGTATATTTTGCATCGCGCTTCCTCCCACACGTCACGTTGATTACACTTTATGTGCATCTCTCGCGATCATAATGCACGTTGCATTACGCAGGCATTTAATGTATCTCCAAATTGTCCGTGGAGCCAAAGATCGCGCAGTAATTATAATTGCAATTGCATTTTAAAAAAAAAACCTCTCTTGCGGACTCCGCTTTATTAGACCTATTAGAGGTTGTACGTTATTAGATACATTTTATTGTAGCATATGAAACTAACGCAATGCACCGTGTCTCGCGAATAATACCGTGACGAAAAATTGTAATAATTCTTTATCATAGACTTTGACAACAGAGTTATAACATAAGCTGAGATAATTTAAAGCCGACAAATGAAATAATAAGTTGATAAAGCAATCCAAAAATATAATATATAAATTAAAAATTGATGCAAATATTTATATACCTCATATATGCATGTCATGTCTATTTTTATTATCTTATAATATATGTATATAAAATCATTCTAATAACAGGGTGGTGACATGTTTCAACGTTATTATACTTACCGAAAAGTAACTAAAAAAGATTCGCATGTTATTATTTAGTTATATCGTCGCTATTGTATCAATTTTTTACGACATAAGTTAGTGCCGAAGCATGTTAGCTTGTCCGTAGAATAATATTAATGACCCTTCATAAAGACCCCGATAATGAATCATAGTGACGAAGGTGGTTCGTCGACGTTATACAAGGAGCAAGGTAGCTAAGATTTTGAGCATAATCTGCGATATTTTTTGTACATCATCCACAATCGACGTAAATTTTTCGCTTACGTTGATTCTTTGTTTTACATCAAACTACGACCACTTTATCAAGAATAATGAAGTGAAAATTGCATTTGTTGACGAAATGTGAACGTCGCGTAGCGTCCAGCAGATGTATGCTTCTGACATAAAAATGGCGTCTTCTAAGTACATTTCGTCTTTCCCGAGACTGTCACGAGGAACGATATTAAAGCTCCTATTAGTGTCCTCGTAATTTCTCACAAATATTTCCGAATCAACGATTTTCAGCTCCTATTGCTGGACGGGTACGTGCTTATTCCTCCTTTGAATCCATCTGTCGTCCGCAGTTTCCCCCATTTTTAATTGAATTTTTTTTCCCACGAGGGAAGTAATTTATCCTTTTTATCTCGGAGCAGAATCGCAGATTCCAATTGAAAGAAAGTTAAACTAGTGTCTTCCCCAGATGACCGGCTGGTCACCAGGGGTGCTCTGAAACACGATAAGGTTAATACCTCAAAATCATTATCGGGGTCGGCTGTTTAATGGTGTGCAAAAAAACGGGCCCTGATATCTGTATGAAATGCGCTTAAACCTCTTTCAATCATAGAATAATTTTCGACATAATATCATTTTTTGCTATATAATTAAATATTTAAAAGTAATATTAAAATTAACATTTTAATTAAGAAGATTATACAACCAATAATTTAGTCAAGTTCAATTTGATATTCTCTCGATTAGCTGCTTCCAAAAATAAATTATATTTCATTAAATTAATTAAAATTAAATTAAATTCGTGTCCATAATTTTGCATTAAATATATATCAGGAGACGCGGTAGCGTCTCGCTAAGTTATATCTTTTATTCGTCAAATTAAAATACAATCTACAAAAAACAAAAAAAAATATTGAAAGATATCGAAAAGATAGCGAAAATATCGAAACAATAGCGAAAATTATCCGTAGGACGCTACTGTGTATCCTTTACCGGACGTAACACGATTTTCGTAAGCTTGAAAACAAAAATTTGAAATATTTCATGAACGGAAACATATTTTTCAAAAGATGACCATATCAATCGAAAGCGCGATTTTTTCCGAGTAAAATGAGACCTTAAGGAACTGGATAGCTCTATTGGTTGCGGAGATATGAATTTTTCAAGTTATTTTTTGGTCGAAAAGGTGTCACTTTTTTTTAAGATACGGCGTCGTACTTGTCCCGATCACCCATCCCGACAAAGTGATTCTGTCCGAAGCTGCTTTACCTTATCCGCGGTCACCCATCCTAGTATAGTGACATTTTCCTCAGCTGCTTAACCTTTTAAGCAACCAAACAAAAAATAAATTCTTGCTCTCTCTCACTCTCTCTCTCTCTCTCTCCTCCTCTCTCTCCCCTCACTCTCCCCCCTCTTTCACCCTTTCTCTCTTGCTTTCCCACGTCTTTTTTCGCTCTCTCTCTCGCCCTCTCTCGCTTTCTCTCGCTGTCTCTCGCTCTCTCTTGCTCTCTACCGCTCTCTCGCGTTCTCTCGCTCTCTGCCGCTCTCTCTCGCGTTCTCTCGCTCTCTCCCACTCTCTCTCGCGTTCTCTCGCTCTCTCTCGTCGTCTCTCGCTCTCTCTCGGTTTTTTTCGCTCTTTCTCGCTTTCTCTCGCTGTTTCTCGCCTCCTCTCGTTCTCTTTCGCTCTCTCGCTTTCTTCCGGTCTCTCTCGCTCTCTCCCGCTCTCTCTCGCGTTCTCTCGGCCTCTCTCGCTCTCTCTCGCTCCCTCTCGTCTTCTCTCACTCTCTCTCGTTTTTTTTCGCTCTCTCTCGCTTTCTCACGCTGTTTCTCGCCTTCTCTCGTTCTCTCCCGCTCTCTCGCTTTCTTTCGCTCTCTCTCGCTCTCTCCCGCTTTCTCTCGCGTTCTCTCGCTCTCTCCCGCTCTCTCATGTTTGAATGTACTATCATGTATTTGAATATACGTTTAAATATATTTGAATTAAATAATTATTTAGAGATAAATAATTTATTTTTTATATATATCTATTTATCTAAATATTTTATAAAAATATATAATAACTTTACAATGTATATACATTCCAGTTTGAATTAATTACATAATTATTTATGTTATTTAAATATAAAGATGAATAAATATATATATATATATATATATATATATATATATATATTTTACTGAATTTATTTTGTTATTGTATATATTATAAACGTTTTAAAATAAAGCAATAATTATACATTTGTTTCATTATAGGAAATTTATCTAAATATTATATATTATGTTGTCACTTACTTAGTGCAACTTTTTGATTTGACTACTTTTTGATGCTAATATTTTAACCTTTTTTCTCGTATTATCAATATAATTATTTAGCGCAATTTTTTGATTTCACTACTTTTTGATGCTAAAATTTTAATTTTTTTCTAGTATTATTAACAAAAATAAAATATAATTTATAAATATATTTTTTAAGAAAATATTTTTGATAATGATTAATTTTTGCAAAGAATTATTTTGGCTATAAACATAATTTTTGAGAAGATTATATTTTTTATTATTATAAAGAACTATTTTTGCTGACGAAAGATATAACTTAGCGCTTTTTTTTACATCTGCAATGTCTTTTTTTGTGGGATAAATTATTAGAGTATAAAATATATAGTTAATATCCCAGATAGCAAAATGTTAGCCAATAATCATGACTTTACAGCAGATTCCTATCCTAAGATTAATTGCTGTATCTGCAATTGATGACATTATGCTAGCATAAATTATAAGTAAAATCTGACAGCAGATTAGCGGCAAAAACCAAGAAAATTTGCACAATATAGTTAATGGCAAATTGGCGGTAGAAACCTAGTCTGTCAAACACAATCTGATAGCAGATTGGCGGCAGAAATTGAGCAGGAATAATTAATCTACAATTTCTTGTCATTTAAAAATATGATAGAATTGAATATTTTTCAATGAATATGTGCATAAAATGCAGTATCCATTAATTATAATTTATTTTATAAATATGAAATTTAATATAATATAATTAAACAAAATAATATGACATATATTATATTGTAGCTATATCTCAAATAGCAATTGTATACTTTGTAATGTAAATTTGCAAATATTAATTTTTGATTAGTCCATAAAAGAAATACAAGTAAATATTTTTCAAGCATTTTATAACGAGAGACTACGTGAAAAAGAAACAAATTTGCGCATTTTTGTCGTATTAATCATGAAGATCATTCATACAATTATGAAACTTTTTGTGCAGAAATTATCAGTGCAGTATATCCATTTGGTGCGGGGGTTGAGGCCGTGCACGTACTCCGCTGACCAACGCTGCCAAAAATGGTCTCGCATCAATTGGAGATGACGCCAGCGTGACAGTGTGGATGCTGGTTGACCAGTCGACGATGGCTCAGGTACGGCTAATAGTGGCGCCCCGATGAGGAAGTGGCCTGGTGTGAGCGCCGAAGTGTCGTCCGGATCGTCTGATAAAGCCTGCAACGGACGAGAATTAAGACACGCCTTGATTTGCGTGAGGAGTGTGCTAAGCTCCTCATATGTGAGGGTGGTTTCGCCGATTACTCGACGGAGGTGGAACTTTGTGGATTTTACGGCAGCCTCCCACAGACCACCGAAGTGAGGGGCCGCTGGCGGATTAAAGTGCCAGCGGATCCCTTGATTGTTGGCGGCGCGAGCGATGTGATGGCCCTCGGAAGATGACGCCTTGAAGAGCTCGCGCAGGGTGCGATCGGCGCCGACGAACGTCGTGCCGCAGTCGCTGTACACGTCCGTACACAGGCCTCTGCGGGAAACGAAGCGGCGTAAGGCGGCGATGAAGGCCTCGGAACTGTAGTCCGAGACGACCTCGAGGTGGATAGCCTTCGACCAAAAGCATACGAAGACAGCTTATGTATCCTCTCTGTGAGCGGTGTCCGCGCCCCTTGCTGGTCCGGATGAAGATGGGTCCCGCGTAGTCCAGGCCAGTGCTCAGGAATGGCCGAGTCGGCGTCACTCGGTCACGCGGAAGGTTGCCCATTGGAGGCTGTGGAGTGGCACCCAGAATCGAAGATAAAGCAAGCCGAGAGTCATCTGGACGCCGCCGTGTAGAGACCGACGATGGCAGGACTCGATGAGCAGTCGCGTCATCCAGGAGGCCGGCGGAACGATCACCGGGTGCTTTTCGTCGTAAGGCAGCAGAGCGTGTTTGAGGCGCCCTCCTACGCGCAGTACACCTTGGTCGTCGAGGAATGGACTGAGTTTGATCAGTGAACTGCGTGGTGGACCGGGACGTCCCGCAGTGGCAGCGGCTATCTCGTCCGGGAAGTGGAGTGCCTGCACAATTCGAAGCCACTGAAGTAGGGCGGCGTCCAGCTCGTCAGGATGCAGCGGACGACCAAGTGTGACCTCTCGGCTCGCCACGTTGAGCCATCGACGACACCAGGCCGTAACGCGCAGCAGCCGATGGAGTGTGGAGAACCGAAGGAGAAGATCCGGTTCAACGATGACGGCACCTTTGGTCATCAGGCTGGTGGTGCGTTGTTCCGGAAGGTCGTCCTCTGCGATGTCGACCCCTGAGCTGGGCCACGCTGTCTCGTCCAATGCCAACCAGGTAGGTCCCGTCCACCATAGCGTGTGATTGACTAACTCTTCCGGATTAATTCCTCGTGATGCGCAATCTGCAGGATTGTCCTTCCACGTGTCTCCACTGAGCGTCCGGGAGCTGAGTCTGGATGTGAGCCACCCGGTTGGCGACGAACGTTTTCCAGCGAGCGGCGTGTCCCTGGATCCAATGGAGAGTGACCTTGGAATCGGACCACAGGTGCACTGGAGTTGATGTCAAGCCGAGGGTGTTTCGGATATGCAACGTCAACGTGGTGAGTAGCACAGCAGCGCACAGTTCAAGGCGAGGCAACGAAACTGGCTTGACGGGCGCGACTTTGGATTTCGCCATGATTAAATTGATTGTGATTTGTTTCTTTCCAGAGTTGCGGATGTAAACGGCGGCAGCATATCCTCGCTCTGATGCATCTGCGAAGCCGTGGATCTGCAACGTGGAGTAATCGCTGTCGGTGCTGAGCCAGCGATTCACCCGTATGTTGCTGAGCAGAGGTAGCTGGTTCAGCAGCTGTTGCCAACGTTTGACGTCCTTGGCAGGTAGTGGAGTGTCCCAGTCGAGTTGCTGAAGCCAGGTGGTCTGGATCAGGATCTTCGCCCGAATCACGACAGGTGCGAGCCAGCCCATCGGGTCAAACAGCCGTGCAGTCTCTGCGAGGACTCGTCGCTTCGTAAACTCGCTGACTACACGAGGATGTATGGCGAAGGCAAACCGGTCTTCTTGAGGATGCCATCGCAGACCCAAGGTCGAATGGCTCTCGTCGTCCCAGGAATGTGGTCCTTGCTGCAGCCGGTGCTCCTGTGGGACTCCGCTGAGGACGTCCGGATTGTTTGAAGCCCACTTCCTCAGCGGAAATCCGCCCGCCATGCAGAGATTGCGCAGCTCTGTCTGGAGGTTGACGGCATCGCCGAGGTCGTCCGCTCCGGTGACTACGTCGTCGACGTAGCAATCTCGCCGAAGTGCTGTGGCCCCTTGAGGAAACTGCGCCCCTTCGTCCGCACAGAGTTGCCGCAGCGTTCGGATGGCCAGGAACGGTGCACACGCCATGCCGTAGGTCACCGTCAGCAGCTCGTACTCCTGGATCTCGCTCGTTTTGTGTTGACGCCACAGTATCGTTTGAAGGCTGCAGTCCTCAGGATGTACGAGAATTTGGCGATACATCTTCTCGATGTCTGTGACGAAGACATACCGGTGCCAACGCCATCGCAGCAGCACGTCGGTGAGAGCGGGCAGCAAATTCGCCCCAGTCAGCAGATGCGAATTCAGCGAGTTCCCAGTTCGTGTCCGTTGAGAGCCGTTGAACACGACTCGGAGCTTCGTCGTCGTGCTCGCCTCCTTCAGGACCCCGTGATGCGGTAAGTAGCATCTGATCTTCTCAGCTGTTGTTGCGATATTTACCCTCTTCATATGTTGCAGGTCCTCGTATTCCTGCATGAAGCTGCGATAGAGGTCGCCAAATCGAGGGTCTCGGCTGCCCTTGGACTCCATGGCTTTCAGGAGGTGCTCCGCAGGGCGGCGAGTGTCTTGAAGAGTCGTCGGCGGTGATGCAAGAGGCAGTCTCACCATGTATCTTCCGGTGGGCGTGCGTGTGACGGTGCGCACGTAAAGCTCCTCGCACTTGGTTTCGTCAGGAGTGAGTGGAGCCTGAGATATTGGCTCGCTCTCCTGCTCCCAAAAGCGGCGAACGAGGTCGGCGAGGTCATGATCGGCGGTGCATCGGAATGTGCGGCGATGTCCGTTGACTGATGCGGCGTCGTATCCGCCAGAGAGGATCCACCCCAGGCTTGTTTGCTGGGCGATCGGCATCCTTGAATCTCCTTTGCGGAGGCCTTCCTCGAGGATCAAGGAATAGACCTCGGCTCCTAGAGTAACTCAGCTGGGTCGTCGTCCAAAAAACGAGGATCGGCCAGTTGGAGTCCCTTGAGATGAGGCCAGCTGCGTTCTCCTCGTGAGACTGATCCTTGCTGCAGTGATATGCGAGGCAGCACAAAGGCTACCACGCTGAGCTCGGCGTTGGTCACGTCTGACGTTACGTGCAGCGTTACTTTGCCTCGAGCGGATCCTGAGCGGGTCCCTCCGATGCCGAAGATCGAAAGATCCGTCGAGACTCGAGGAAGGCGAAGGCGTTGTGCCAAGGTCTCTGAAATGATCGACACCTCAGAGCATTGGTCGATCAGAGCGCGTACGGCGTGTGGGGACCCGTACCGATCGGCGATGTTCACTCGAGCTGTTGCCAGAAGAACGGCCTTGTGATCCTGATGTTGCAGAGTCGTGGTCAGTGTGGTGGCGCGTGTGGTGGCCTCAGCTGACAGTGAAGACGTCGGTGCTCCGTGCAACATCGTGTGGTGTCGTGCGTCGCATGTGAGGCAGTTCTTCTTCGACTGGCAGCGAGATAGAAAGTGGTTGCCTAAGCAATTGTAGCAGCGCTTGCTTGTCTCTATGAACGCCTTACGCTCGTTGACTGTCTTGGCCTTGAAGTCTCGGCAGGCCATCAAGGTGTGGTTCTCGCGACACAGTGCACAGTGCGGCGGTTCAGATCCTTGGTGTTTCGTGACGTGTGCCTTGGCGATCCGTGGAGCATCTCCGGACGGTTTGCTGACGCCCTTCGGTCGTGCGGCATTGAGCGTCAGGATCCGCCGACTGATAAAGTCAACGAGTGCCTCGTTCTGTGCTGGCTCTGATGAGTCTGAAATGGACGACTCCCACTCCAGACGTGTGCGTGCATCAAAAAGCTCCGTCACCAGGAAGTTGAAGAGGTCCATCCCGTGGGAGTTTATTGGACGCCCGATGCTCTCCTGACCGTTGACGGTGGCAGTAACGGCGTTGTGGATGCGTCTCAACTCCTCTGCGGTATCTCCCTTCATCTTTGGCACGGCGATGAACGTGGCAAAGTTGGAGCGGATCAATTCTTTTTATTGTTGTAGTGCTTGTCCAGTATCGCCCAAGCACGCTCATAATTGTCGCTAGTGACGGGTAACGACTTTATTAACTTTTCAGCCGGTCCCGTCAGACATGAGCGGAGGTGATGGAAGCGCTCGATGTTGGAGATCGCGTTGCCACTCACGACGGAGAGAAAGAGATCCCGAAACGACGGCCAATCAGCGTAAGCACCAGAGAATGGCGGTACCTTGATGCGCGGCAGTGACGACCGTGGCGTGACGTCGGCAGAAGGAGCTACGTTCGGTGCACGAAAGTGTTCGGCGTAGCCATCAAGTATGCTTCGCTGACTTACGTACAGATTTTCTGTATCTGCATAGAAATCTGATTTGAAATACTCGCTCTCACTGAATTTGTCTTTCAAGGCCGCTCGGATAAGGTCATGCTGCGTCTCGAACTTTGTCCACAGCTGATCCAGGATTCTGGTGCGTGTGGCGATAGCACTTATGGTGATATTGGCGCTGCCCAGCTTCTTCAAGTACTCTACGGAGCGTGAGATTCGGATTTGAATCTCACGCTGACAATCGACCAGCGTGGGCACATCCATGACGGCTGCGCACACAGATGTTCACACCTTCACTCACACGAGGAGTCACGCTCGCGAACTTGCGGTTGCCGGTGCGACGGATCCGGCTCGAAGGACCAGAAATATGTTCACGAACGCGCTGCGAGAGAAAGGATCGCGCGGCACCCAAAGGATGAGTCACCTTTTGTATTAAACCGACTTTAATATTATAAACAATTAAGAACGAACACTTCAACAAACGTTTACAATCTTACTTAATTTACAGAGAAAATCGAATCATAATCAAAGTGCGGAAAAAGCGGCAGTTGACAATGAGTTTTTTAGCGGTTTTACAAGTCTGCGGTTTGCGATATGCGGTTCACGGCGGAAGACGATAAGGCTGACAAGCCGGGTGTGGGCTCCTCTTTTATAATTTTTAGAAGAGAGCCCACCTTCGCGTGATGCGCCAATGATTTTGCGCGTTTTGAAAATTGCGCGAGGTGACCCGAGCGCAGTACGCGTAATTGGCCGCTGTCAAAATTGACAGGATGTCGGCTGTGAACGAGCATGCGCGAGCGGGCGATCGCGATGATCATTGGTAAAACGAGGCGCCCGTGAGGCGCCGCGCATGCTCGTAGAAATATGACTATTATGCGGAACGGTTTGCGATACCGTTAGTTGTTAGTATTTTGGTAGGTTTTTTTACATGACAGAATGATTTATGTCGCGGTATGGTTTCTTAAAACAAACATGCAAAAAACGATATGAGTGTTGTTATTCCCGCTTGGTATAGAATATTCTAAAATATTCTATATGAATATGATATTTCCTTACGCGTATGATATCACATAATTCTAGTATGCATTTCGAACAATATATAATGTAAATAATGTATATGTAACGTAAATAATGTATATATAATGTAAATATATTAATAAAAATTATAACATATTAATATTATATTAAAAAATATTTATATTTATTAATATTTATAAAAAAATATACTATAAACTTAAATAATTATACAGAATTGAAAAATATGATCACCTTTTGGTAATAATACAAATTTCTTTACTTCAGGTTCCAATTTATGCACGTTTTCTAAATGACGTGCAATTTTACTCTGAAACTTTTTGCAATAGTAGCAAAAATTTTTTTTTTTATGTCTTTTAGGTTGAGAAAACATAAATTGTCTTCTCTACAACCAAATGTATTGATAGAAGAAAGATCTATCAGTGATTCTGAAGAATTTTTATCATTAGTTGCAGAAACGTTATTGCGGAAGCTTTTATGTTCCGTAATTTCTTTTTCAATTGTAATTTCCGATGCTGAAGGTAGATATTCCGAAGTACTTGATGTGTTTGCAGAAGCAATATTGTCATTAATATCATCACGGAAAATCATATTATTATCACTATCATTACTTAATGTGTTTGCACAAGCAATGTTGTCATTAATATTTTCATCATCACAGGAAATCATATTATTATCACTATTATTATAATTTATAGAAGCTTTGGCGTTAGTGAAATCATTTAAGATACTAGAATTATAATCATCGTTAAAAGAAAATATCATGACATCTTTGAGAACAATACCCGTTTCAGACACATTGAAATTGTCATTATCATTGAAAAATGTCAGATTATTATTATGATAATTATTACTGTTCATAAAATTAATATCAATATCAGTATTTACATGACAGTTATTGTCATCATCACAAGAAAATATCACATTATTATCAAACTCACAGTTATTCTTAGAATTATTAGCATTAATGTTATTATTATTGCACAAAAGTGATATATCAATATTAGAATCATTATCATTCGTAGAATTATTGATACTGATATTACTATCTACCGTTTTACAACCATTACTATTATCACAAGAAGATATCACATTATTAAAATCAATATCATTTGCAGAATTGTTAGCATTAATAGTACTATCTACTACATTATGATTTCTATCATTACAGCAAATGTAATGTTAAGTTTAGTAGCCTTTACTCTATTCTGCTCATTATTAGACTCACTAAAAATTATCATAGCATTATCACAACCAACAATTTTGTTAGAATTATTAGTGACGCAACCTTCATCATTTATTGCATTGTGATCATTTTCATTAGAACATGATATATCAATATTAGGATCATTATCATTCGTAGAATTATTGATATCACTATGTACTGTTTTGCAACCATTATTGTTCTCATAAGAAAGTATCACATTATCAAAATCAGTATCATTTGCAGAATTGTTAGCATTAATAGTACTATCTACTACATTATAATTTCTGTCATTACAGGAAAATGTAATGTTAAGTTTAGTAGCCTTTACTCTATTCTGCTCATTATTAGACTCACTAGAAATTATCATAGCATTATCACAACCAACATTTTTCTTAGAATTATTAGTTACACAATTTTCATCATTTATTGCAGTGTGATCATGTTCATTAGAAAATGTAACGTGCTTATCAAAATCAGTACTATTCGCAGAATTATTGTCATTAATGATATTATCTACAATGCTATCATTTCCATTATTATCGGCATTATTATTTGTAAAATTATCAATATTACCAATAATTATAGTTTTAAATCCGTTATTAGAATCAACGTGTTTTATAAGATAATTGACGTTACTTTGATCATTTGCATTGTGGCCTTGTCCATTATCAAGAAAAGATACTACATTATTGTCAAAATCAATAGCATTACTTAAATTGTTAGTATTAGTATTCTTTTTAGTATAATTCATATTGATAATGCAGGCATCTTGTGGTATTTCTGTAGTTTCTACAAAAAAAGTATAATTACTGTAAAAAATAGAAATGCAATATATTGCATGTAGTTTTAGAATTATAATACTGTAATACTTACTATTGTTATTATTGACAATTAATTTTATGTTTTCCAGAGCAATACGTGGATTATTTGTATTTAAACTTTTAGCAATTGCAAGAAGATCATTTTTATTTTCTGTAACAATAAATATAGTAATTTCAATTATTTATATATAAATAATCAGAAATTAACGCGTTGATGCAAGAATTTAACTAAAAAGAAAATTAAAAAGCAGTGCTGAGTAAAAACTTTAGATTTTTACGACTTAAGTTAATATTAATCTGTTAAAAATCGAATAAAAAGGTTACGTGCTGTTGTGCTCAATATTAACAATATTATTGCAATGAAAACATTTTATGTTATTTTAAATAAATATAGAATGGTGATACTTACTATTCTGTGCAATTGTACGTATAATACATGTTTTTTTACGATTCCTAACTAGACATTTTACGCGTCTTCTCTTGTGTTTTATATTTACATGATATTTATGATAATTACAAAAAA